TCATATTTTAAAATCTCACAGTGGTAATTTTTTTTTCTTTTTTGAGGGAAGATTTGATTTTTTTTTAAATTGATAAAATCCATTCATAGACAAGTCTTGTAACATGGTACGTGATTAAACTGAGCAACACTGTCTAGGATTTTTTAAAATTAGGTGTTAGAAGGCTTGTTTTCTCTCCTGTCTTGTGTACAGATGCTGAGAGCAATTCTGTAAGAGAAATAGCAAGAATGCTTTAGTGGCGATTAGTGCTGTTGGAGTTAGCATATAATCTCCTGAGGTAGCAGCTTCACCTTACAGAGTGTAAATCCCAATTTCTTATTCTACATCGTGTATTCCCCAGAATTTGCATAGACCTAATAAGCATATGCATACCCACTTCTCTATTCCTCTTTCCAAATATTTTTCCTAATAGATTTTTGTTGGAAGCTGTACTTTCTTTTTCCTAGTCCTGAAAAGCCACTATGTCACTAAACCCAAGAGACAAGAGAGAGAGAGAGAGCAGCTTTGTGCTCCTAGACTCAGATTCGAAAAGAGTGGGTGGAGGAAAGGGAGGTCAGAAAATAGGTTGTTATTTCCATTGCTGGCAATTTAGATTCAGAGGCATTTCATCGGCAGTTCCCTCAAGTGTTGAATTGAATAAAAGTAGTAGCAGAAGCAGTGGGAAGGGTGGCTGGGGGAGGGGCTGTGAACACTTCCAGCTAAACGCAGAGAGACAGGCAGCTTGTAAACGTGCATCCTCAGCTTGGAATAAAAAGCACAAGAAGCCTTAGAGCCAGCATTTATTGAAACAAGATACAGCCATAGTGAAACAAAACAAACCGAAATCCATCTACACTCGCAGGGTGGTGAGATTTACCGTGGGCTCCTCTGAGCGGGGTGGGCTGTGAGTGACAGGAAGAACGCCGAAGCAGCGCTGCGTGCATCCTGCCTATCAGGTGGATGATTTAGGAAGAGACATATTTCACATGCACCTTTACTAAGAAATATGTCCATAAAGATTTCCTCCTTATTTTACATGCGATTCAACCAGCACTCACATTTGCAATGAGCCAGGCGCTATGAAATTACTGTGTACAGGAAGCTTATTGTTTACAAAGACGTGCTATCCCCAATTCCCTTTTTAAGACATGTTAAGTCGGTTTTCCTTTGAAATATTGTCACGCATGGTGGTAAACATCATAAGCTAGCCCTCGAAGTTCTTTTTAACACATAATATGCCTAAAGGGTAATACAAATATAGAGAAAATGAATTGAAAATAATGCTGAGGGATATATTCCATTCATGTACGGATATGTCAAAATGAACTGCACTACTACAGATAGCAGTAATGCACTAGTAAAAACATTTTTTAAAAAAAGAAAATAATGCTGAAGGAAGATTAGACATTTAAACAGGAAAAAATAATTAGATAACAAATTTATTTATCTCTTTTGCTTGTAATCCTGAGAAAATGACCTAATTAGGAAAATGATGGAAAAGACAAAGATATAAATTTCTGAAGCACATTTTTGATGTGCTTTGAGGATGTAGAGATTCATAACACTGATTCTTTTTTTTAAAATTTTTTTAGTTGTAAATGGATCTTCTATTATTTATTTATTTATATGTGGTGCTGAGGATCGAACCCAGGGTCTCACACTTGCCAGAAGTGCTCTACCACTGAGCCACAACTGCAGCCCTTTACACTAATTCCTTATTATAACTAACTTACCTAAAAAATATCTTTCCTTTTCATTGATGTCATTCCAGAATTATATAATAGGTATTAAGCTCATTCTATACAAAATGTAGTACATTATGTGCTGTAAGAGACAGAAGTACTATTAAAAACAGAGAGCCCCTCATCAAAGTTCTGATGATTTAGTCAATGAGATAAAACATACATGGTACAAAAATATATGTAATCAACACCATGAACATAAATACAGAGGTGTAACATGGAGAAGTGGGAGAAGGATGGACTGCAATGTCAGTTTTTAATAGCCTTAGTTTTTAATAGACCAGAATGTCTATCAGCTAAATAACTATGAGCAAATTTCTTAATCCCTTGGAGCTTTAGTTTCCTTACATATAAAATGGGAATAGCAATATCTGTCTTGTGAAGTTATTATGAAAATTATATGAGATAATGCAAATAATATGCCTAGTAAAGGCATAAAGTAGGTGCTTAATTGGGTAGTTCCCATGTCTTCCTAGGACTGAAAAAACCCACCATACCTGGCAAGTTAGTGAGGAGTAGATATTTGAACAGGGCCTTGAAAGCATGATTAAGAATAGTGTTGGCTGGAATTGGTGGTGCATGCCTGTAATCCCAGCCACGCAGGAGGCTGAGACAGGAGGATTTCCAGTTCAAAGCCAGCTTCAGCAAAACAGAGGCACTAAGCAACTCAGTGAGACACTGTCTCTAAATAAAAATACAAAATAGGGCTGGGGATGTGGCTCAGTGGTCAAGTGCCCCTGAGTTTAATCCCTGATACAAAAAAAAAAAAAAAGAGTAGTCTTAATTTCATTTTACATTTATTTTATGTTTTAACCGTCTAAATTCCCTTCTGGTAACTGAGGCATTTCTTTCTTGTGTCTTAATGGAGACCCCAGACACTAATTCTCCAAGTCTATTCCAGGTAGATTTGACCAATTAGGCATTGTCATGATTAGCAATATTCTTACATTTCTATCTTGATGCTTCAGTCTTAGGTGGTACCTAATAGAATCCAGGTTGCTAAAAGCTGTGGTTCTTAATATAATTACATTACTTCCCATCCTCTTTGCCCTTTTCCTTTCTTACCCATAATTTCCATCAGTTATGAAATTTGTAAAGTCTTCTAGTGGTTGTCTTCATGATTTGAAATATTCTTAAAAGCCTATTTCTTGAATGATTATCATTAGAAAGTATAAAAAAAAAAGATGGTGAAAATAGTGTATCTTTCCCTCCTTCCATCACATCTTTCCATTTGCCACCAAATTTTTGGTAATTGCATGTTTTTATTCTTCCAGTGTAAACATTTGTAATATTTCTATAACTATTATTGTCTTATACACATTGTCCATGCTATGATTCTAAGGATTCAAGATATGCAGTTTTTACATTATGATAGTCCTGTCACAATAGAACTATATAGAATGATAGAGAAGGAGGTGTAATGCTAGACCATTGGAAGGTTGCTCTTTGAAGAAGACTGCCTCAGACACTCAGATCTCTCCAATTCTCTTTAAATATCTTTCTTTCTTTATATCTTCCTTTCCTTGGCCACCTGTTTGTTTGGTTTTTTTTTATTTTATGTAATTCTCTTCTTTGGGACCCTTTGTCATTTATTCAAAACAATCTACATAAGTAATTTTTTAATATAGGATCTCTGGGTGATAAACGTTTTTTATACAAGTAGTGAGTACTTATTACATTCCAAAAAAATGTTACATCTGCACTTATATTTAATTAGTAGTTAGGCTAAATGCAGACTTTTTTTTTCTTCCTAAGGTCTTTGAGGGCATTGCTTCAGGGTCTGCTAATACCCAATATTGCTAACAAGAAATGTGATATTAGTCTGCTTTCTACTTTGTTATGGATAACCCCACACACACCAGTGCTTCACTAAAAGTGAATTTTCTCTTAACTCTTAAAGTTCTGAATTTTCACAAGGGTTTAGGTGTAAGCCCTGATACACTGGCTCTCTTTGGTATTCAGTAGTCCCTTTCAATACAAAAGTATACGCATTTTTTAATCACTCGGGGAAATTGTATATTATAGTCTATTACTTTTATGATTGTTTGCTTCTATTTTATTTTCTTCTTCTAAAACTTATGTTAAATATTTCTGTGCCCCATCCCTTATTTTTAACAGTTGTACTATATTTATATTTTTAGATCATATAGCTACTATATACCATGATCTCTTTTTAATCTCTACTTAGTTCTTCAAGTCATTTTATTCATCTAAACTTTTCTCTTTAGTAGATTCTTTAGGTATAATTTGTGGAAACAATTTCTCTGAGATCTTACACGTTGACAACTATTTGCCCCTTTATACTTGAAGGTCAGTTTTGCTGGATATAAAATCCCTGGTTTACACATTCTTTTCTTGACTATCTTTTTTCCTCTGATGTAGAAGACAGCTGTTGAAAGTCTGATGATTGATACCATAATCTCGAATCCATTTCTTTTTGATTTTTTAAAAATGTTCTCCTTTGATGCTTCTTTTTCTAAGGCCTTATTTATTGTGCCTATTTGTGTGAATATCATAATAGCAAAAATTTTATTGAATTCCCCCATATGTCAGGCACTTGGAGTACAATGCTAGGCACTGCCATGCTTTCCAGGGTCCCTACAATAATAGAACCCATATAACATTGAATATCAGAGCAGGTTTCTCAATACTGGTCCTATTAGCATTTGGGGCTGGATAACTCTTTACTGTAGTGGGCTACCTTGTTCACTGCAGAATATTTTGCTGCATCCCTGACCTCCATCTACTAGATGTCAGTAAAGTACTCCCCCATCCCCATTGTGACAACCAGAAATGTCTCAGACACTGCCAGATGTTCCCCAGGAGTCAAAATCAGCCCCAGTTGAGAACCACTGAACCAGAGAATCATACAGACTATTGTCACAAGTATAATAAGAACTCTCTGTTTCAGCAAATGGCATTCATCAATTCTTGGGTCAAAAATCTTAAGAGTCATTTTTGGCAACTCTTTCTTTCATATCCACACCTGTCTTAACAGTAGGTTCTGATTCACCAACAAAATTCACCAGAAACTGTATCCTGATTCTGATTTTCCCTACCACCTTCATTGCTGCCACCCTAGTTTAAGCCAGTGTCATTTCTCACCTGATGTACCCTGGTAGCTGGCATCTCCATTCCCACTTTTGCCTCCCTGTACTCTTTTCCCCCATACAGTTGCCAGAATTCATCTTTTATCACGTAGATCAGATAATGTCATTCTCTGCTCAAAATCCTCCAATGATTCCTCATCACTCTTAGAATAAAAAAATCAGGCCTTACCTGGCCTGCCTGGCCCGACATGATATAGCTCCCGGCAACCTCTCTGAACTCTCCTTCTGCTGCTCTCCCCCTTGCTCATTGCACTTCAGCCACACAACCTCCTCGCTGTTCCTTAAATATGCCAGGCATGCTCCATCTTTGAGCTTTGTATTTGCTTTTATTTTGACGGAGAATGTTCCTCCCCCAGACATTCCCTCAGCTCAACTCAACTTCAAACAGGTCTCGGCTCTAATGTCCCTTCCTCAGAGAAGCTTTCCCTGACTTCCCTGCTTTAAATGACCCCATCACTCTCCCCTCTGACCCTGATTTATTTCCCTTTCTTCCGAGCCCTTATCGTGACCTGACATGACAGCATCTGTTTGCTTGTTTATTTGCTCACATCCTTCTCCTCTACTGGAATGTAAACTCTATGAAGGCAAGGACTGTGTCTCTGTGAACAGCCTTCCAAGGCATTGAGAATACCACTGAAAGAACAAGGCCTGGGGCACGGTAGGTCCTCAAATCTTTCTGAATGAATAAATGAATGAATGAATGAATGAGAAGAAGGAGGAGGAAGGGGAGAAGAAAGAGAAGAAAATGATGATGTCATTGAACTGGTGCTTTGAAGAACTGACCTGATCAGAAGCATCAGGGAAAGCCATTTTGAGGAAGACCGGAAGTTAACCAGGTAGAGGGATGGTGGGGGGAGATATTATGAAATTGAGAAAGGAAGGAAGAGAGATGTGGGCAGTGCTTCCTATAGGACCCTTAATAGTTGTGAAATAAAGAGAATCGAAGAAAGCAAAGTCTTAAAGGCACTGAAGAAAATTCACTGTTTTAAGAAGAAGGTGACATGCTAAGGTTTGTATATGAAAAAATTACCATTCTGGCTCAAGAATGGAGAACAGATGGAGTGAGGCCAAGAGTCAAAGTTTGAGAGCTGTTTCAGGAGGATGGTACTTAGGACTAGGATGGTAGCAGTGGAAGAGAAAAGTAGAAATACTCTAGATCTGTTTGTTTAGGAAGTAAAATAATCGTGGCTTGTGATACATTGGACAGTTGGGGAGATGGAAAGTGAGGGAGAGAGAAGCTAAGTGCCTCGGAGTTCTGCCTTCACTGAGACAAGGAATGTGTGGGAAGGATCAGGTGGCAGGGACAGGAGGTAGTGAAGGCTGTGAGTTTTGTTTTATACCTGGTGAGCTTAAGGTACCTTTGTGGCATCTCAGTAGAGCTGCCCATTGAAAGGAAATCGAGGAACCAGGAGATGGGTGAGCGAGAAATGAAAGACAGAGACCAGCAGAAATACACAGGAGAGTTTAATTGTCAGAGCTGACAAATAAAGGCACATCTCTCCATAGACAGAGAGGCGCAAAACAGGCTTGGGGTTCAGGACTTTTATGGGGCAGGCTCAGGGTTTAGAGTTGGGCAGGTCCCAATGCAGGCAGTGAAGGGTTGGGTTGGTATGAGGGAGTGGTGAGCCTTTCTCAGAAACACCCTTGGTGGGAAAGCAAAATTTTTCTTAAAATGGCAGCTGTCACTTAAGATGGCCATCCAGATGCTAAGCAAGGACCTTACGCTCATTAGTTACCTGAATGCGTGCAATCGAGCTGGGAGAAGAGGTTTGGGAGAGAGAAAAGAGCTTGACACTCACTTGATAAAGGTGGTCACTGAAGCCATGAACATGGATGAGCATGTTAGAGAAAGCCTGGCCTAAGAAGAGAAGACCTGAGGCTGAACCTTGGAGGGTGTTTAATGACCATATGGGAAGAGGAGGTAGCAAGGAACCTGAAAGTGTCAGAAGTAAGAGGAAAACTAAAGCTGAGAAAGAGAGTGTTCATTTATATAAAAACATGGAGGTACGGCTGGTACAGGTCATATAGATATTGACCTGTTTGCGGTGGTGAAATCCAGAATAGAACACTCTGGTCAGTCTCTGAGGTGAAGATATGGAAGAAAACTGAGAGAGTGAATGTCATTGCCTAGGTCGGCTGTGTCTATCCTACCTAACCAAACAGTGCACACCTAGTTCTCACTGGGGCATTCACTTCTTTTCCTGGGCACCCTTGCTTCTAGTCTGCTAGTAACAATGGTGATTCACCAGGATACCAGAGTTGAGAGGCTTCCACAGGGATGTCAAGTGGCAGTTCTTCATCTTGTGCCAGTTGACATCTCATGCTTAGAGCTTCAGGTTGTATATTTGTTTTTAATGGGTAGCTTTTAAATACATTAATTAATCTGAATTTTAATTATTAAGAGGGAGTCAGTACATTTACAAGGCACAAAAAAATAAAATAATTAAAAGACATATGTTGCTGTACTGGGGATGTAGCTCAGCAGTAGAGCATTTGCCTAGCATGAGAAAGGTCCTGGGTTTGATTTCTAACACTGAAAAGAAAGAGGCATAATATTGAGACACCTCATTTCTATCCTGGGGAAAATGAACCTGTCATTTAATAGATATTTTCAAATTCCTCACCATGAGAGTTATACCATTTTGCATTTCTACCAAAAATCTAGGAGAATGCCTATATTAAATATTAGTTATGGTTCTCCAGAGAAACAGAAGCAATAGTTTATATGTGTGTGTGTGTGTGTGTGTGTTTAACTACACACACACACACACAGTAGAAGAGAGGGATTTATTTTAAGGAATTGGCTCACATGATTGTGAGGGCTGACAAGTCCAAAATCCACAGGGCAGGCTGGGAACTTCAGCAACAGTGACATTGCAGTCTTGAGTGTGGAGGCAGAATTCCTTCTTTGGAGGACCTCAGTCTTTCTCTTTAGGTTTTCCCTGATTAGGTGAGGCCCACCCACATCATGGAAGGAAATCACAGTAACCTAAGTCTGATTAAATTTTAGTCACAACCAAAAAAATACCTTTACAGCAACATCTAGACTCATGATATACCTAATGACCAGACACCATAGCCACTTTGGGTGGGCAGATAAAATTAACCATCACAGTGCTTATTTCCCCCACAACCTTGCTAACAGTATTCATTGTCAAAGTTTTTGACTGTTTGCCAATCTGGTAGGCATAAAGGTGGTTCCCAACATAGCTTTAATCAGCACTTCTTTTATTGTTAGTGAGGTCGAGCATCTTTTCAAATATTTAAGAAAACATATATTTCTTTTTCTTTGAACATTCTGATTCTGTACTTTATTATTTTATTCAGCTTTTGGTACTGTTATTTTAAGTATTCTATTTTGATTGAAACCTGTTATTTTGTTTAATATGAAGTGCCTCCTAGTTATCCATACTCTGCTGTGCTTCCTCTTCTCGCCCTGGTAGAAAAAGGAGACGGAGGGAGAGGCACTTGAAGTAGATGAGGCTTTAAAGGAGTACGAGGGGAGATCTCTGTCCTGATGCTTCTTTGCAATATCTTCTGGGATGTTTTTTAAATATCACCTTGGATTTTTTAAATCCTGGTTGTTCTTTCAAACTGTTTTCCCTCCTAATTCTAAAATATTTAGAATTTTTGATGCCCAGTAAGTTCATCGTCGACTCTCTGTATGGATTTCTCCTTCCGGTCATTTGACCTCCTGTTTGTAGAACAGAACCTTCCCCTGTGCCTGGGACACTCCACCCCGCACTGTCTACACAGCTGCCTCCTATTTCATCATTTTCTCAATGACATCTCCCCTGGCCATCCTAACTAAAATAATGAGCGGTGTCCATCCCAAGACTACCGTCTCACATTCAGAAAAATACCTGGAATCCAAATAGTAAATTAGATAAAAACCTATTAAGCAGACCTAGTTATTGGGCAAGAAAATATAACAGCATTGTTCCTGTTTATTCACCCATAAAGTGAAAATAATATTATTTACCTCATTGACTTTTTGTAAGGATTAAAGGACAGAATAAATAGAAAGCTCTTTGCAAAGGTCACAAAAAAAAAAAAAAACAATAAATGTACCTTTGAAAATACCCCCAGCGAAGTCCTAGCGGCAGGCCTGGGCCGGGGCGATGGGGACACCACAAGCTGGAGATTAGGGTTGGTGACATAGTGTGAGGAGAGAGCAGGCCGTAGGAATAGTGGAGGCAGAGTGCTCATTCAGCAAGCATCGACTGAATGCCTTCCACTTAATAGAAAAGAAAAGAAAAAACAGGGCATAAAGGGCATTAGGAACTAAAACTGACCCTGTGGTAACAAGAGCTCTGTTTCATGCCTGGTCCCCAGTGCCTATAAAACAGAGCCACAGGGCTGGGGATGCAGCTCAGTGGCTGAGTACTTGCCTAGCATGCACAAGGCCCTGGGTTCAAATCCTAGCACTATAAAAATGAAATAAAAAGGACTGGGGATGCAGCTCGGTGGTAAAGCACACTTGGGTTCAATCCTCAGTACCCCAAAAAAAATCCAAAACAAAAAACACCCATACATTTGGTGCTTAATATAATAACTCTTTGTATAAAGGATCTACCTTGTTGGGGGGATGAGGAGGAGGGATTCCATAACTCATTCACTACAGAGATAAGTAGAAAATACAAAATCCAACAGGCGGGGTGGTGCACACTTATAATCCCAGCAGCTTAGGAGGCTGAGGCAGGAGGATCTTGAGTTCAAAGCCAACCTCAGCAAAAGCAAGGTGCTAAGCAACTCAGTGAGACCCTGTCTCTAAATAAAATACCAAATAGGGCTGGGGATGTGGTTCAATGGTGGAGTGCCTCTGAGTTCAATCCTCAGTACCAAAAAAAAAAAAAAAAAAAAAAGAAAGAAAATACAAAGACCAAGTCCTCCACAGTGTGTAAGCACTCATGCACAGAAGTGTCTCTCAAAGACGGCAGGCAGTGTGGCCAAGGGTCAGCAGTAGAGGAGGCAGGAACTCCAGTGGCTCCATGCTCAGCACAGCTGAGTGGCTAGGGGAAGGACCTGAGGGGAGTGATTATAGAAAAGAGAGGGAGAGAGAGAACAAGAGAAAACCAAAAAAGGGAGAACAACATGGTATGGTCAAGTCCCTGTGCCCCCAACATTTAGGGTGTTCACACAAGTACCCTGTGTGACTGGTTCCCTCCAGCACCTTTTGTAGTACTGAGGACCTCCCGTGGATTGGTACAGACCAGGGGAAGGGTTAATTCCAGAGGCATAAAATGCACAGTAAGAGCAGGATTTCCAACCACTCCCACCCAGGAATTTGCAAAAATCTGAGGAAGAGGTTGAACTTCCCTTTGAATGAGGGTCAAAGAGAACAAATCACTTGAAAAAGAAATCTCAAAGGCAAAGTGACTTTCACTTTGCAGGGGTTGTACCTGATACCCTGCTGGCTACTTCTGACCCAGAAACCACCTCCTTCAGAGTGATCCCAGGTTATACCTTTACCCTGTATTGTAATTATCTGTTTATTTTTCTGCCTCTCCCATTCGATTGAACGTTCAGAGCTGGGCAGAGTCACAGTGCACTGGTACCATTACAGGGAGAGGCTGCCACTGACATTAGACATCCTGTAAAGTGGCACTGAAGGCATTAGAGGAAGGGTCAGAAATAACAGAACACAAGGGGCTGCAGCTGTAGCTCAGTGGTAGAGCTTGCACATGCGAGGTACTGGGTTCCATCCTCAGCACCACATAAAAATAAATAAATAAAGATACTATACCAACTACTATTAAAAATATGTTTTGTTTTTTTTTAATAAAGGGAAGAAACAACAGAATCCAAGCAGAGTTGGTCAAGAACCAGAACAAGGGGCTGGGGTTGTAGCTCAGTGGTGGAGGACCGAATTAAGCCAAATAATAATATTTCAAATCTGAGCATCCTCAACAGGCTAAAATGAAAATGTAAGTATGCCATGTGGGTACTCTGGACACCACCAAGGTCTCATCCCATCTGAAGCCAGGTGCAGTGCCGGTGCTTGGACACAGCAGAACTAATTATGGAGAGAGGTGAAATTTTCTGCATCTTCTTGTCACTCCTTATATTTGTTGATGCAAGTTAGAATCCGTCTTTGTGGCCCATGTCACATGAGATCAGAAACAGAATAGCCTGGACCACACTGAGGAGTGGGGACTATTCCACTTGTTGTTGTAACCTCCTACACAAAGCAAAAAGAGTCTGAGAGAGCTTTTAACATGTGAAGTGTCTGTGCAGAGACCTAGGACTTCTGGGACTGTGTGTACAGAAGAACTAAACAAACAACAAATGCAATTTAAGGAATTTATATATTTTGTGGCTGTGACTTCTCCCTGTTACCCTATTTCCGTTTTTTGCTTTTCAAAAGCAATTACTTCCCTGTCATTTCTAGACATTCAGGCAGAAGAGTCTGTCTTGATTAGAGTCTTTCCTTTCCTCTTTTCCCCTTACTTCAGCTATCTCTCTTAATACGAGAATAAAATTTTTTAATTCTTTTATAAAGGAAGACAAAAGATGGCTTTTAATATGTGGGTCAGAGGGGCTGAGGTTGTAGCTCAGGGGTTGAGCGTTTGCCTGGCATGCGTGAGGCACTGGGTTCAATCTTCAGCACCACATAAAAAAATAAAATAAAGATATTGTGTTCATTTACAACTAAAAAAAAAATATTTAAAAAAAATATGTGGGTCAGATACTGTGCGCTGCTTTTACTAGATTAACCGGAGAGTGCAGTGTTTTTCCTTGTGTCGCCGGCAGTTCCATGTACGTGCATAAGGACTAAGGGACACGTGAATATTTTTCTACGTGGTGGCCATCATGTGTGCTTGTGCCCTAGCACCGCCATTTGTGAAAGTTCGTGTGTGCCTTGTGCAAAGGAAAGAGACTCCTGCTCCATTATTCCAAGCAATTAAATTCCAACAGCACAAGCATGAGGAAGCAGCCCTGATTTTCTTTCCTTTTGCAGTAATTGCCTCAGCAATCATCTTTGATCAGGGAAGAGCAGAGGAGGAGAGTCCTGCAAGTTGACATCCCCGGTATAAATATATACATTTACATACACGGGGCAGCCGCAGCTCTGCAGCTTTTTACTGACGTCTCTGACCTGAAACCATTGTAGCTCCATTGACACCTCATTTAATTGAATCCTTCCCCAGCAGTGCAGAAGCTGGAGGACTTGAAAGGAGGAGGGAAGTGGAAGGATGGGTAATCAAGGCAGACTCTTCTGCCTGAATGTCTAGAAATGACAGGGAAGTAATTGCTTTTGAAAAGCAAAAAACAGAAATAGGACAATTTGTTCTATTTAGCAAGATGCTAAAGGGGGATAAAGATATGGGGATTTTCCCCAAAACATACCCAAATCCCTACCCCAAGAATAAAACCAATTTGGATTTCTGAGCAAATAAGAATGAAATAGATTCTATTAAAGGGGAAGAAAGAAAAAATACAATCCTAAGAAAGAAAAATCCAGAGGCTCTCCTGTTCAAAATGGCCAGAGACAATAGTAAGATATTCTGAGCCCAGAGCCACAGCACAGCCCCTTTTGTCAGCTTCAAATCAGCGAGCCAGAGGGTCGAGTCAGTTTAACCTGCCTCGGTGACACATCACCCACCCGCCTGACCCTGGAGCAGCCTCATTTTTATGGATGCAGAGGCTCACGGTGTAATTCATTCCCTGGCACACCCCGCTCGTTCAGCTGCCTGCCTCTGCCACAAAGGTGCACTGCATATTCTCTGCTGGCTGAACCGATGAGATCTCAGTAGCTCCCTGTTTAATGCAGGAATCACCGTGCCTTGCAGTTGAAGACTAATGTCCCCTACACAGCATCAAGGTGGGGGCCTAGATCATTCATACCGATTAGCATATGTCCACAAACTCGGAGTCTTGAAGAAAGCAGCCTGGACCTGAAGGAATCATCAGGTTTAAGAATAAAATATGAAAGGTGTGTAATAACTTTTGCCCCTTTTGTCATCAGCTCTCTATCTTTGCTTTTTTGATTATATATATTATATATATATATATATATATATATATATATATAAAACATAAGAGGGTGTGTGCAGCAGGAAGCTGCTTTGCCCTTTGATTTAGTACATGGAGAAATGGAAAACAAAACAAAAATATGGCTTAATAATAATACATGACTAGTATAAAGCACCCGTACAGAGCCCTTTATGTACATTATTAAATTTTTTAGACTTTTCCACAACTAGATATATTAGCAGTAGAAGCAGCTTTATTATCCTGATATATATATATATATATATATATATATATGATATATATAAATATATATAAGACATATGTATAAATATATATAAGATATACATAAGACATATATACACATATATGTGTGTATGTATGTGTGTGTGTATGTGTATGGAACTTGCCTCTGATAAGCAGCAGAGCAGGGAGTCCTGAAGTACAGCAACAGGGGCCCCAGTTCTGGGCCCCATATTAGAGAATTCTGCTCTAACCTCACTTTGGCTACATCCCATCCTTTCCCATTTCATGAGGAGTCCGCGCAATCAAAGGACAGAATACCCACTAACCACTTACCAGTGTTCCCCATCTCTAGACCACATTCCACTCTCCAGGATTCCAGAGTTTCAAGAAGGCTTCCAAGACCTGTACAGGTTTCTTCTTGGATCCATTCTTTTGGTCTGCCACTAGGCCTAAATGGTAGCCAAGGGATGACTATTTACAAAGGGGGAGAATAAGGTTTGGATATGCACATGGTATCCCCCACATGTACATGAAATCATCCATAGCATGAGACAAAGCCAGAGGTGGAAAAGGAAGAGGAATGGACTGTGGTCTGGGACCTGTGAACAAATTCCCCACACAGGCTGGGTCTAAAGTCCAAAGGTTGCTAACTGGAAATGTGGCCTCCCAGGGATATATGTTATGAAGGTATATATTTTTCACAGTAGGAAGCTAGAACATGTTTTATGCTATCAATTAATTTTTAAAAATTTTAAATATTTAGACAAAATGTATATAGATCTCCATTTGAGTTCTTACTCCATGTTCTGCAAATGATAAGGGCAAGCCAGTTGAAGGGGTATTGGTGTATACAGTAGAAATGAATTGAAATTTGGAAGAGATTATACAAACCAGGCTGACATAAATTTCTTTTACCTCTCTTTAAAGAATCAAAGAATATATTGGCCTTCATAATCACAGCATTTCCTCCAGTAATCTGGATATCTCCAATATCCCTGATATTTAAGTGTACTAATGATGAATCCTTTATGTTTTATACTGTTTTATACATGCATTAATACAAGCTTCTCATTAATTTTCTTGCCAAAGTTCCTAAATGATATTACATTGGCCCAAAAAAGTTAGCACCCTGGATAAAAGTGAAACATTTCTCCCAAGCAATGTTGAGTTCCTCTTCATCCGCAAGATCAGACATAAAACTTTTCCCCAGATTCATGACTAACTGCATCAGCTATCCACTTCAGCAGGAGAATCAGTTCTGAAAGCAGGCAGCCCAAAACACATGAGATAATGTATGAATATGGCTCCCTTCAACAGTTCGTGTCTGGTTTCTTACAGAGATCAGCCTGCCGACAGAAGGGACATGCCAAATCTCATCTCTTTCATGAAGTTCTCGCTCCTAAGGCTGAACTTCCTTAGCACTGTCTCCATAAGGTCAATGTTTGATTCTTTATTCATCTGCCCTTTATATCTTATTTTTCCTAATAGATTGCAGAGGTCTAAAAGCCTGCATCTTTCACTTTGGAATCCCCAGAATGTGCAGAGTACACAGTAGATCTTCATGGAGAATTAGTGAATGAATAGACAGATAATGCCTACTTTTGTCATTATTATTATAATTGGCTTTTAGGGGAATTTTTGCCAATTTTTGTGTGTTCTAAAGTCTCAGTGGTATTTCTGTGATTTTCACTAACCCTTGAAGAATACAATTAAAAACAAACGAAGTATCTCTTCTACTTTGGAGATACTCAGAGTATATTCCTGTCTGTAAGTAGAGCAATTTTGTATCAGATGGCATCTTGGGCTGAATATTTGTGTCCCTCCAAAACTCTTATATGTAAGTGCTAACCTTCAGTGTGATGGCATTTAGCAAGTGAGAAGGGCTAGATGAGGTCATGGTCTTTGTGATGGGATTAGCACCCTTGTAAGAAGAGCCACCAAAGAGCTTGCTTTCTCCTGCTGCAGATGCACACACTGAGGAAAGCCCTGTGAGGACACAGTGGAAAAGGCAATTGCCACAAGCCAGAAGCTCCTGGACTTCCAGTCTCCAGAAGGGTGAGAAAATGAATCACTATTGCTTAAGCCACCAATCTATGCATGTTATTATGGCAATGTGGGCTAAGACTGTTGGGAATGCTTTCGGTGAAAGTAACAGGAAATTGAACCTCTGTTTGTTGAGTATGTAATTAAAGACATTTAGTCTCACATAGTAAGAAGATGTTGGAAGGTTGATAGTTCCAGAGAGTCAACAATATTATTGCGAACTCAAAACCTTTCATCCTTCTGTGTTCCATCTTCTGTATGTTGGAAGATGGTCCTAGTGCTTTTTATTTCTGGTAATGGCTGACAAAGTATCTATTCAGGAAGGGAAGTCAGATACACACAAGCCAACACTCCTTTTAGAAAGCATTCTTTCCCAGTAGTCCTTTCCTTAAACATCATTGGCAGGGATTCTGTCACATGACCACCTTCACTTTAAGTTGAGTATCAGATAAAAGGAAATGGGATTGCCAAACAGGCTTATGCCAATTATGACCCATCCCTGGAGGCTGGGAACATTGCCATTTGGGCAGCATTGGGGCTTTTTAGCAAGGTGAAAGAGCTATAATGGCTGCTGGGTGGCCAATGGATAGTGTCTGCCACCATTCCTCTCTAGTTTCAATATTATCAACAGATCTTATTCTGTATCTTAGTCAATCTTGGCTGTCATAACAGAATATCATATACTGGGTAGCTTATAAGCCACAGAAATTTATATATTATAGTTATTTATTATACAGTTCCAGATGCTAGTTCCAAGACCAAGACACCTGCAGATTCAGTGTCTGGTGAGGGCTTGTTTCCTGATCCATCGATCAAACATTCTCAGTGTGTCCTCCCATGATGGAAGGGGCAGGGCAGCAATTTGGGACTTGTTTTATTAGGTCACTAATCCCAATGAACTCATGACCTAATTCCTTCCCAAAGGCACCATCACATTGGTAATTAAGTTTCAACATATGAATTTTAGAATGATACAACTATTCAGACCCCAAATATTTTGTTTTGAGATTATTCTAAACTGAAATTTTCCATTTCAGGGGATCCCTGCCAGACTGTGACAGCCATTGAGTGACTGATTTGTCATATATAACACCCACAAACTCAAGAGAAAAATAAAAATATCCATGGAAACACAAAATTGGAAATTTACAAACCATGATAGATTCTGAAAGTCTTGCCCAGTGGTTCTATACATCAGAATAACATAGGAGGGTTTTCAAAATCACTGGTATTCCAAACTACACCTACTAAATCAGAATTTCTAGAATGAGGGCTCCAGCATTGGGAGTCTTCCGTATGATTCTCAGGAGTAAGAACTACTGCAAGAAAGATTTATAGGAAGCAGAGGTGCAAGTCATCTCAACTTTTACCCTCACTGGAAATCCTTAGATGACCCATGAGAAATTTTCTCTTTGCTTCTCAACATCCATATTTATTCATTAAGATATTTCTTATGTGTATGCTATGCACATGTTGCTCTGTGTGCGAGGTGTTGGATGTTATCAAAGAGAATTTAAACAGCCAGTACCTTGAGAATTTTCTGTTCTTTGGAGTAAATCAGTGAAATATTTTTATTTAAACAAGATAATATTTATTAAATATCAAATGAGAGGCCCAGATATTATGGTCTTTAGAAGATCAGAGGAGGGCCAGATAAATACAGATTTGAATGGACAGTAAAGATTTCATATGGGTGTCAGAAAAAATTGGATAATAATGCTGAGGGAAAGACCATAGTTGTTGGTAATCACACATGCTAACAATTCTGGCATGTTTGGGATGTGACTAAATCAACTAGTTCTCTTGGGAAATAGAAGATAAGATTAGAAGCATTGAAGAAACATGTTTTGATCAGAAACATGTTCTCATCACAGCTGAGAGGACATAGTAGTCTAAACAGGCCTTGAGATCCTAAGTTTGTAGGAAAAAAAAATTCAGGAAGAAGCTCAGGTGGGGTTGGAAATGTCTACTAAGTAGCCAGATATCCAGGAGTATGCATGAGACAGAGGTCTGTCTGAGGCACAAAGTTGATTGTAGAAGCTGTGAACATGGGCACAAAGGTAGAAAACTGGAAGCCAGACCCTCAAATATGTCCTTAGTATTAGATCATTCCCTTCTTGGAGCCAATACTCAGCCTTGTATAAACTATAATTTAAGCATCTGACACAACTGAAGTCCAATTACTTATAGGTGAACAAATGTCTATCAATCACCTAGTGTGTACCAAATACAGGATATAGCAACCACATGATCGAAGTAGGAGCTAAATATGTAAACAAGACCATTTCAGAAATGGGTAAACTCCATCAAGAAAATAAGGTGGGAGAAAGTGAAAATGTGTGGACTTGAGTGGGTCTCTGTAAGCAAGTGTAGTCAAGTGGACCTGAATGATTAGAAGGAACCATGTGAAGATCCAAGTAGAAGGACCACCAAGGGCAAAGTCCCTGAGAAGGGAATGAGTTGGCACATTCAGTGCACAAAGGCTGGAGCATAGAGGCCAAGACAAGAGGGAGAACAGTGAAACACTCACACAAGTCTTTTCTTCTGTCTCCCCACTCTTTGTTAAGAGCCTGCTCTTTAGGTGCTAGGGGAAGAGTGAAGAAGCAGGGTTCATCCCACATGAGAATTCTGGGAGGTCCCATGTATAGGCAGAGTCTTCAAGACTCCAGTAAGGAATCTGAGTTTTCTTTTAATTTCAATGGTGAGCTTCCAGAGTGTATTTTTTATTGGAAAGATGTGATCCAGTTTGTTCTGCTTATTTCCCCATCTACCTCTTTTTGTCAGACCGCGAGGACCTTCGAAGGAGAGACGGTTTCACTCACCTTTGAATCCCCCATGTCTGAGCAGAGGGCCTGTCCCTTCATAAGCATTCAGTAAGTGTTGGTTGAAAGAATGAGGCTGTCATGAATATCTGCACCTTAGCTTAAGCAAACTGCTTGAAAAAGAAACACAGAAAGTAAAACGTACAAGTAACAACCCAGCAATTCCACCCCTGGGTACCTACTGAAAACAGGTGTTCAAAACAAATATGTATACATGAATGTTTATAACAGCACTATTCACAGTAGCCAAAAGGTGGAGATAGTCTAAATGTCCACCAATTCATGAATGAATGAACAGAATGTGGTATAGCCACACAATTCAGCTATGAAAAATAATGAAGTTCTGACACATACTCCAACATGGATGGACCTTTAAAATGTTAAAGGATCCAGACTCTGGAGGTCACATGTATGATTCCATTTATATGAAATATACATAAAGGGAAAATCCATAGAAATGGAAAGCAGATTATTAGTTACCAGGGACCAAGGGGTGGAGGGAATGAGGAGTGATTCCTTACTGGTTAAAATGTCTCCTTTAGGGACTGATGGAAATGTTTTGGAACTAGTTAGAGGTGATGGTAGAACAACATTGGTGGCACTGAATACCACTAAATTGTCTGCTTTAAGAATGGTTGATTTTATGAAGTTTATGTCACTTCACTAAGAGAGGGAGAGACAGAAGTGTCAGTTACTTCAAATCATGAAAGAAGCAGGTATAAATTGTATTTTGAGAAATTTGGCAGAGAAAGGGAAGAGAGGTATAGAAGGATAGCTACATGGACACTTGAGAAAAGTTTTTTTTTTTTAAATAATATAAGACATTTATGTATTTAAAGGAAAAGAGAAAAAGGGTCAGGGAGATGCCAGGGAACTCTCTGGGTCCCAGACCTGAGAAGCTGGAAACGTAGACATAACCCTATAGTAGGGAAGAGAATAGTCATTCATTCTGGCAAAGAATGTTGTAATTTGAAAATTTCAAGGATAAATATAACTGGAAAGAGCCTACATTTCTAGCCTACATTTCTCTTTGTTAATGAAATAGTAGTTCACATTCTGGTAGTAGAAGTCAATTATTGGATAGAACAGCTATAATAATTTGTATTTTATCAATAGTTTGGGGTTCTCTACAAAGGCCATTTGCTGTTGATCCTGGATCATACCCTTCATTTTTAATTTTTGCATTCAACAAGTGTACCTGGTACATGCCAGGAATTCAGAAGACAAGTATGTTTGGTGAGTTTCTCTTTCCTAATTATAGCCTGTGTGTCATTAACTGCTGGAGCCCACTAGCCTGATAATGTTGCCAAGATTCCTGCATGCCAGGGATTTATTTATATTTCCACGTCTGAGATCTGATAGCAAAAGTCTGTGTGTATGTGGTTATGGGTATGTCTATGTGTGAGAGCTATTTTTTAATTAATTAATTTGAGACTATATTCTTTGAATTCAAAAAGCAAAATACAAAGAATCATGGTGAAAATTCTCTCTGTGTTTCCTACCTACCTGGCTCCCTTTCCAATGGCAATCCCCATTGTCAGTTTTCATGTATCCTTTTAGAGATATTTTATGCATATACAAGTAAATACATACATAGGTATACACTCCCTTCCCCATTCTTCATACAAATAGCATACCATACATGTGAGCCTTTTTGTTATTTTTTTCATTTTATAATATATCATATTCTCAGATATGATGATTTTTCTGGAGCTTTCCTGTTATCTATTCCATTTTCCTACAAAAAGAAAAAGATTTTCCATGTAAGAGAGTCCTCAGTATTTCTACAGCTTTATAGTCTCCTGTTATGTAGGCAAACCATTGTGTATTTAACCAGTCTCCTACTGGTGAATATTTAGGTAGATTAAAAGCTGCAATGCAAACATTTGCATGTGCCTTTTCACATGTGTGCAAGTATATCTGTATGATAAACTCAGACTGGACTTGTTAAGCCAAAGGGCATCTGCCTGCAATTTTATTGGGTCTTGAAAAATTGCATCCATAGAGTGTAGGCCAGTTTGTTTGTTTTTTTTTTTTTTACTTCCACCAGCAATGTATGAAAGAATACATTTTTCCACAACTTCACAAATACATTGTTTTATCAGTATTTTGGGAGTTGTATCAATATTTTAAATATAAAATGGTATCTCAGTGTGGATTTAATCTGCATTTCTCTTACTATGAGTGATATTTTAATATGTTTAAAAGTCATTTTATTTCTTTTCCTATGAACTGTTTACTTGTTTTCTATTAAGTTAGTAAACCTTTATACATTGATTTATAGGAGCTTATTATATACTATACAACTTATCCCTTTGTCTGTTAAATGAATTATAAATTTTCCCAATTTGTCATCTCATTTTACTTTGCTTATAATGATTTTTGCCATAGAAATTTGTTTTATTTTTATTGTAATGAATTTACAAGTCCTTGTGTTATGACCTCCAGGTTTTGTGTCATATTTAGGAAAGACATCTCTCACTTAAATATTATTCTTAAAAATTCTTTCATTATTTCTTCTAATAATTTTATTACTTCATTGGTACAATTTTTAATTCATCCAATTTATTTTAGTGCATGTGGTGCATTGTTGGGTGTTGTCCTAATACCACTTTCCTTCCCCTGAATAAATAACTATTTGTGTTTATTCCTCTAGTACAACTTGAATCAAAATACTGCTTTGAATTTCCAAAAGAAATCAATATTGATTGAATTCCTACTATGTACAATCTTATCGTAATGGAATCTTTATAATTTTCTCCTGGAGAAGAAATCGAGACAGGATATTGAGTCCTGAGATGAAGAAATTTCCTCTAGTAGATTAAAATTTTTTTCAGCAGTAGGGACTCTTCATAATAGTAGGAACCATTTATAACTATAGTCAGGGAGACAGAGAGCAAATTAAAATTACAAACAAAGAAAACACAAATGATTCTTCATCCATGTGAGTTCTCCTCTCTTCTATAACCCAATCATAAAAATTAAATAAATGACAGAAAAGATCTTCAAAGACCACAGTATCTATGAACATGAGATGCTGTTATATAAAGACCATGGCTGTGGATACTTCAGGAATATGCATATGAAATGGAACCTTTGGAATGGAGCTCAAAATGGATTAGTACCAAGACATTCTAAGGCATAGTCTTTTGAGTATACTTTCCTTTGGTATGGGAAAGAACATCATGAAAATTGTAAACCTCAAGTCCTATATTGAAACATTCCTACTTATGTAACTATTAATAGGAACCCTGTGATTTGTTACAGCTACTGATGAATGTCCCTGCAGTCTACCTCTACCATAGCCTGGAATCACTGGCTATTTATTCCTTGGCCTTATTGCCTTTATACTTCTAGTCAGAATCTAATTCTCCAATTTTGTAACTCCTCAGCTCCATATCCTAGAAAACTTTCTAATGAAAACCCAGTTGTACTCCACATTGCAGATGGGTAATATGTGTGGGTGTGTGTGAGTCCTCCAGATAGACAGTTACAGAAGTATTCCTAGTGGAGGGAAGGACAGGCATAAGAACCAGTGGACATGAGTCAAAGACAGGGAAGAGAACAAAATGTGAGGAGAAAATAAATAGGATCCTGCTCTCTCAAAGAGCATAGGGAAATTGAGAAAGAACGGGAAGGAGAGGCATTTACGGTTGATACTGCCCATGTGTAGTGGGTTGAATAGTGTTCCAAACAAAAATTCATACCCACCCAGAATCTCAGAATGTGGCCTTATTTGGTCTCTACAGATATAATTAGTTAAGAGTTGCTTGTTGGATTTGGCTGGGTCTCAAGCCTCAAAACTGGCTTTTTCTCCTAATAGAAGAAAAGAGGATACACAGACTAGGAGGGAGGTCCTGTGACACAGAGACAGAAATCAGAGTGATGCCACTACAAGCCAAGGATTGCCAGGGGTTGCCAGGAGCCACCTGGCAATGTTTATCTTAAGAAAACAGACTTAAAGACTTCCTTTCTAGGACTTACTTATTAAAAATAAGTTATCCTAATCATTAGGCATCTCATTTTTCCTCTGTCTTGGAAGGTAACAGGTATCAAAGATGTTATGAACCCCATGTATTCATTTTGTAAATATTGTTGAGTGTCCACATCCCAGGTACTATGATTGGTGATGATGATGTGGTGTTTAAAAGCAAGATAACAAAAGGGTAGGTGACAGAGATTGGCCTGAGGCAGGAAGCTCTAAAAAGGTGATATTTGAGCCAATGCCTAAAGGACAGCAGGAGCAGTCAAGTGAAGACTTGGGGACAGAGCACTCCAGGCAAGAGAGAGCTGTGAGCACCTAATACACCTGGACCCTGGAGTGTTTCCAGATCAGAAAAGTGGCCCAGAGACTCCAGCAAAGAAAGTCAAGGGGTACTGGCCAGAATCTGTAGGGCCAGGCAGACCTTGACCAAGAAGTGGGATTTTAGTCAAAGTGCAATGGGAAACCCTTGGAGAGTTTTAAGCAAGGAAGTGACATTATCTGGTTTCATTTGTAAAAGATCACCTTGGCTACTGTGAGAAGGATTGATGTTGAGGTGCCAGAGTGGAGGAAGGAAGGCCCATTAGGAAGTTTCTGGGGCATGATATGATGGACCAGGATGAATTTGGGGTGGTGGTGGGAACAGACTTAATACATCAGAAAGGATCAACAGCTGTTCTTGTGGATGGATGGGATGTTAGTGTTAGGTAAGAAAAAAACTGACGTCACAAACAGCTCTACATGGTACAGTAGACTCTATAAACCATTGCTATTTAAAATCTCTCTCCCACTTGGATAGATCTGCATTCTCCATTGGGAGAGAAATGAATATAATTGAGCTCAGTTGTGTCTTATTGGCTGCTCAGAACTCAGCTTGCTTTGAAGCCACACACTTAAGTTCTCTGTCAGCCCCTCTTCTGCTTAGGGCTCTGAATACTTTGCCTCTGCTTAAATCTGCTAAAGAAAGCTGGGGTGTTTATCCTACCCCTGGCTCTTTTATAAATTGGGAACATTGGAGTCATTTTTCATCCAATAAATGAGGATATTAATGCCCATTCTGTAGAAGTTTTCTGTTAATGAAATAGCTAGCACACAATCTGGCAGAGAGTTGAACTTCAGTAAAAGATAGTGACGATGGCAATGATAATCAGTGTCTCACAAGACAGATGTGAGTGAAGTCACCTTGATTTCTTCTAACCTTGGAATCCTGTAGTTTCATCTAAGACTCTCCAATATTAAAAAAAAAAAAAGACACCTCACTTCAACCTGAACCAGGGCTGGGATTTGGTTCATCCGGAACACCAGCTCAGGCTGATCAGGTAACCTCTTGATGTCAGTATCTCACTTATTCCTACTTCTTTTATGAAGCATAGGAATAATGTTTTAAACAGTAGAAAGGGAAAAAAAAGTTTCTGATAAAATAATGAGCCTTCCTTATTTTGAGCTTTCCTTTGATGTTTGCCACCTCGCTCCCATTATGTCTCTTTGTCCACCATTGAAAAGGCCAGTGTCCTCAATTTGTGCCCAGCTGGAAAGAGAACATGGAGCTGAAGAGTGCAAAGAAGCAAAGAAATCACACTGAGATGATATTTTCCTTTATGAGACATTTCAACAATCATAACAGAGAGAATGTCTTATGAGCTGACCATCAGTTTTAAATATGGAAAATGTTTCCTGTCTCTAGAGCAGTCATTATGTCCTTATATATTTGATGTCACTAACAGAGCAGCTGAGAGGTTTGTCCTATAAAAATCACATATTTAACATAAGGAATGAAAAGGGGAAAAGAATATGATTGCTTCCTAAATCTTGATATGTACCAAGAGTCCTATATATTTGGTAACATGCATTCTTGATCTGGCTGCACTATTCTCACCACTTCAGTTTATTATCTTTTTTCATAATCCATTATTATTTTTGCATGGTTTTGGTACCTTCTTTTATGTCTTTAATAGTGTTAGACATACTTTTGGCAGTTTCTACCAGACTATTCTATCACCTGAAATTCTCAGAAGCCTCATTCTGCTGTTTGCTTTGCATAGCACTCGCTGGTTTTGATTTTGGAGCACGTGAGTCTATCCTCAGCCATCCTTTATCATCAAGAATCATAGGTGACCCACATAAAGGTGTGGCTCTCCAGAGTATTTTGAGGTTTTCTCCTGCCAAATGCCATAGTGATATGACTGGACTGAGACTAAGTTTGATTTTAATATTTCAGCTTAGAGGCTTCTGAACTTGGTGGATTATAAATATAAATCCCTAAACTCTATAAGTCTTAGTCACAGATTCTCAGGGGGAGACTTATGGGCCAAGAAAAGACAAGCCCTGTTGTGACCACAGATGGGTTATTTTTCCCTAGGCCAAGAGTCCCAGTGTTGTGTGGAGATCTCAGTTCCAACTTATTAACTCCCACGGGCCCTTGTTCCCAGATGGGTGCTAAAACCAAATTCCTGCAGTCACTGAGACTGGGCCAAGCTCCTCAAGGCAGATAAGTTCCCAGGGCCTCCTGCTCTCATTTCAGTTCTCTCTTTGGATCTGGTGCTCGGGGAGTGCCCTACTTGCAAATTTAGCCCTTTATTTTAAAAGAATGCATGTTCTATTTTATTCAGAATATCTTAACATTTGGGGTAGAAGGGTTTTGAGGTTATCTGGTCTACCATATGGGTGGAAATGAAACTGTCAACTCATTCTTCATGCTACAGCCAGCGAGACCTTTTCAAAATACAAGTGTGATTTGTTTATTAACCTCGCATAAAATCTTAAATAGCTTCCCAATGGTCTTAAGACAGATTCTGAAATCTATAACCTCTAAGGCCCGGGATGGAGTTGGCCTTGCTTCTTTCTCCACCCTTATGTTGCAGTTATATCCCTTCACATTCTCTGTAGTTTACTCTCTGTAGTCTAGGGTTCTTTTAGATTCTAGATTGTACCTAACTCTTCCTTATCATAGCAACCTGCCACACTCTGCCCTCTCTTCCTGGAACACCCCCAGTTTACTCACCATTCCAGATCTCAGTATAAGTACACAATAGCAGTCATCTAGGCCTGTTTCCTCTGACATGTATGTATATTGCCCCAGGCACCTCTCCTTTATTGTGCTTATCACAACTGTGACTTATATTTATTTTTGTAATTATTTTTTTAGCTTGTCTCTCACCCAGTAGGTTGTAAATTCTACATGAAAGCAGGGGTCATGTATGTTTTTGTGCACTGTTTTTATTAGTAAAATTAACACTAGCTGCTAAGCTCACATTGACATCAACAATCCTAAAATCACCATCATTCAACACTATACAAATTAATTACTCTTGCCATATTCTAAAGTGAGTCATGCCACTTTTCTCCAGTTGGATTCCCAGAAACCCAGGTTGCAATGCATCCCTGTCACCAATATGTTACCAACAAGGTCACATTGGAAGGGAAAGAAATGAAGGATTATGTGGGAAGTTTTTAATGACCCCAGGCCAGGCACACTACTCTTTCACTCCCATTCTATTGGTCAGATCTAATCAGATCTAATTGCCCCCATGCAAAACAGCTGGGAAATGAAGATAATCTGTGTACCTGGGAAGAAAAGGAGAAAAATGATTATTAGGCAAGCACTCATGTCTCTGCCGTATCATTTTACCAAAGAGTAATTCCTGACAATAGAAAGTTCTTGATAAACATCAATTGAACAAATCAACAAATAGATGAGTGGGTGCGCATATGGATGGAGGGATGGTCATAATGAGGGGCTTATTCATTCTACTATTCTATAAGCTCTTTGTGTGAACAAGCCATATTTGTATTGTTCATCATTATGTCCCTATTGTAAGGGGAGATTTGGGCTCAAGTAGAAGCTCACACAGAGCACACGGTTACCACTACTTGGGAGATTTTGTGGAAATGGAATGCTACTAGGTCTTTTTTAAAAGGTGTGGAAAGACCTTGGAAAAACAATTTAAGAATTTGTGAAGGCATGGGAGAGATGGGGTGGGGAGTAGCAGAAATGATGAAGAAAAGTTGGCATGCATGTGGTTGAGAGGGCCAAAGAAAGGAATTGGTGGTAAGAATGGAGAACATTACAGGGGCAACATCACCTGGCTAGTGTCCATCTGAACACCATATCTGCTGAGATGCAAACTCCATTATTTTCTCTTTGATGTCCTGTAGACTTACACCTAGGAATAAGGGTGTCTCTTCAGTGAAACAGCATATTCCCTCCTCCCATCTTGGCCCACAAGTTTAAAATGAGTAAAATATGCACATGAAGTATGGTGTTTGGATTGAGCAGGAGTTTGGTTCTGTAGAAGGCACTTTGCTTCTGGCCATGCAGAATGGAAAGCCACACAAGTTCCAGCCCCAGCTGTCAGGCCGGGATTTCGCCCTAGCCTCTCTCCAATCAATACATAGAAATGCCTGGTGCCATCAGGAGGGAGCTGCATTTTTTAAAAAACGAATGAAGCAGGACAGCCAAAATCTTTACCTTCTTTATTTTCTTCTTGGCAGCTTCATACCAGGGATGGAGATGATCCTGACGGGCAGCATGAGGGTGCTACCTTCCCCATCCCCAAGAAGGGAATCAGGGCTACAAAAAAGTAGCCCTATAGCACAGGCTTCCGAAATGCACTGTCAAGTTAGTGACAGGGGAGCCTCTCTAGCTCTGGGGCTACAGCAGAGCCGTGAGCTTTAGTGGATCAATACTTTAGTCTTGTCATGCTAATTGCTCATTGGTTGACATTCATGATCCTTCCTTGCTCCCTCCCTATGTAAACTCTTTACAGCTGGAACAGCGGGATGCAAAAATCCCAAGCCTTCAAAGCCAGCTCCTGCAGAAGACAGAGGGCCTGGCAGCTGAGGTATGGTGCTCCCCCATTTCCTTGTCGCCCCCCCCTTAAAAATGCTTCATGTGTGTGTGCATGTGGTGGTGTGATAGGGAGATGCACGAAGAAATACCTGGGGTCACTCTCCTGTAACACGTAAAACAGTATTACCTTTTCAGAACAAAACAGTATCGCCTCCCCTTCCACTCCCTCCAAAAAGAGGAAGAGAGAAAAAAAACAAAACTGAAAAGCATCCATTTGCTCTATGAGTTTGATCACAGCCCTTCTGTTTTGGTGATTGTGTCACTCTCCACCAGTTCACAATGAATATGTACCTGCAACTGTCCTCTCTGCTCCCAGACTAAAGCTGCTGTGAAAGAGAGAGAGAGAGAGAGAGAGAGAGAGAGAGAGAGAATGCGTGTGTGTTCACGCCTACCATATTGGCTTCCTGTCCCTGGAACATCAGCTTTTCTAGCTGGCTGAGCCTGTCCCCATAACCACTGTTGCCACTGAGACCACCCCAACTCCTACCCTGTAAGCTTCAGGCCTATGCTATGCAGGGTTTTGTTAAGCTGTTTAGTATTAATTGATTTTTTTTCCCATTTTTTTCTTTCTTTCCCTGGGCGGGTCAATAGCTGGATGCTTCAGGAGCAGAGGATCTATCAACTGCAGACCAAGCATAGGGAGCCGCAGACAAACCTGGAACAGTAATCCAGCCAGCTCCAGTCGCTCCCAGTCGGCAGCAGGAAGCAAGCTCTGGCCATGGGGCAAGAAATCGACTCTGACCCAATCCTTGAGGTCTGGTAAGTTTCTTCACTTTTGGAAAGTGAGGCAAATAATAACCAAGTCTTTTTTTTTTTTTTTTTTTCGTACGCAAAAAGATTCGGCAGCATTTTGGCTGATTTCAGTTAATGACTAAAGATCAAAATCGGGAAACCCGCAGGTCTGGGAGGATGCATTGGGGAGGGTGGGTTGCTGGATCGACAAGGGCTAACCAAACTGCGATCCTAAGGTGAGCCACTGCAGCCAAGCAGATGTCCTGGACATCGATCCTTGCATCCTGATATTGATTTCCTCTTGGGGCCAAGAATGGGGTGGACCTATGGAGGACAAGAGGGGAACTGACACCCTCCCGGAGGGCCAAGCAGCCCTAATCGGTGATAACAGTGTTAAGTGGTCAGCCTAGAGATGAGGTTTGCTCAGATCTATTGATCTACACTCCCCTGGGATATAAATCCTTCTGAATTTGCTTCCGTGGATATAAATATTTATAATTAAAATAGCTGAGAAGCTTCTTATAGGCACAGGGAGAATGGCCCATCCCAAGATTAAGCTTGGTATCAATCTCTACTGTCTCTCTACTTTGTGTACTCTTCTCATTCTCTTACATCTTTTATACCTCTCCGTTCTCTGTTCTGAACCCTATTTTGCTCACCCTGAGTGACAGGCACAATGTCTCAGACTATCAGAAGCCGGAAAAAAAAATCTATTCTTTCTGAATGCTGCCTCCAGCTGAGGAGGGGGTGCTCCTCTGGCCAAGGCTACACAGTTTCTTATGCATTCAGGAGCCTGGACTTAGAAAGGGATGGGCTATTTGGGGGGATCGAGGGAAGACATTTTTAGTTATTGCTTTGTTTTTGCTTTTATTTGGGCATCTGTTTGGATCCTGTAACAAAAAGGTTTCGAAGTGCAAATGTGTTAACCAATGCCGGGACCCTGCTTTGGCTTGCTTTGCTGTGTTAAATCTAGGAGAACAACTTGAAGGGCCTCACACTCCTATTTCTCAGCACCTCATAAATTTGGGCTCCCATGAAGTAAACAAAACCTTTCTCACCCAAGAAAATGGAAAAAGAAAGGATGCTATTGGGGAACTACTGATGGGCAGAGTCCCTGAAGCCACCTGGCAAGACTGAGACTGTTGATCAAAGCTTTGTCCACTGAAAGGACAACCTTAGAAAAGATTGAAACCATTCAGCTTTAATTTTTAGGACCTTGGATTGAAATTTAGGTGGTAGGGCGAATGGACTTGAAACTCATTCACTTAGCTCCTTAAACCCATCATTTATGCATCTCCGTTCTCTGTTCTGAACCCTATTTTGCTCACCTGCATCAGTCATAAGACATAAATCTGTTCACCTCTAAATCCATCATAACACTTTGGTGTTCAGGATGCAATTTTTTCAGTTTGGGAACTTCTGAGTATTTTTATCAGGTGTCTGTCTTGCTTTGTTGCTTGTATCTTGAGTGTTGTGTCTTTGTGGGTCTATTTGAAGCAGGTTCCATTAATTTATAATTTATACCTACAAAAATTTTAAGTACTTCTGAATCTTATGTTGGTCATCATGTGTATGCATACACTGCATAGGAGGTGAAGAGAGTTCTTTGGATTTTGTGTCTCCCAATTTTGTTTGTTTGCTGGTGGTCCCGAAGGTAAAATCTATGGCTTCATCCATGCCAGGCTCTAAGCACTCACTATAACAACAGCCATGCTTCTCTGATTTTAAAATGTTCAGTCATTTCAGTCCACGTGGGTCAGCCTATAAATGTCTGTGTATCTTCATGCAGGAGTTCATTGGGAAGACATGAACATAAGCAAGTTAGAATTGTGTTCTACATTTCTCTCCCATTCATATTAACCATGTCTTTCCCAGATGCAAATTAAGCTTTGCTTCCCCACCCTTTTTATCCAGAGGTGTTAGTTTCAGAACTCAAATATAGCTCATTTGTCTCTTTTAGCACATGATTGAGGGTTAGGGACTATTTGAATTGGCAGTTAAGGGTTAGTATTTTGGACCATTTGGCTTATATAATTTTTATAAAATAAAAGTCTCACAGGTATAATTTCAATAGCCTTGGCTTAAGAATGTTTCTCAGCATGCATGAGAATAAAAAACACTTCAAACAAAAAAGGAAGAATGTTCTGGTTAGTAACTTGTATGCTTTTGTGGTAATGGAGAGGATTGGAATGCAGTTCTCTTTGTTTGAATTACATGATAACACCCAGAATGTAAAAGGTGTATTTTACCATAGAAATAAACTTTAATATTGACCTAGAGAATGGAAGGCCCAGGCTGGTACTTAAATCCTCCTCTGCTAGATTATAATGAAAAGCATAATAAGAATAGGTTTTTTTTTTAAGGGGGAAAAAACAAGATCTGCATTTTTCGCCTATTGTTTATAATATTTGTCAATATTTGCTTGCATTATTCCTCTGAAGAAGAAGCTTATTTGGAGAAACTTATCTAAATTTTAATATTGAATATGCTTCATTAATGAAATGTGTATGTATTTGTGGTCTTAGTGCCACTAAATCTAAATAACAGATAAGTTCGTTGCTGTCTTGTGCTACAGGTCATATTTGAAAGCTTGGATGCCAGGTATAGGGAATTGATTGTATTATGGAATCATCTAGTCACTTATGTTTTATTGTCTACAGTCTTATAGGAATTTAGCTCCTGTATTATAGATAGATTTGCCTGCTACGTTTGCATCTTGTATTTTACATATCAGATCTATTTTTTAATTCTATTTCTCTATAAAGTTATACCTTCAATATATTTTCTAATGCAAGGATATAATAAAATTTCACTGTTGTTTCTATATGACATAAAATGTAATTATGGTGGTATTTCACTATTTTCATAATAATAATATACGTATTATGTTTCAAACCTTTCTAATCATCTCAATGTACTCATTTGATCCTCAGAGCAAACTTATAAGTTAAAACAAGAGTCATCATCTCCAACAATGAAACATACACAGGTGCCACAAATATTAATGTCAGACTTGAGGCTGTGACCTGAAGCTATACACCCCTGGTCAGGTGTTCTTTCCACAACTACCAGCTGCCTCCGTTAATGTTTGATAGCAGTTTAGCATATTCTATATTTCCAGTGTTTGTTACAACCATTGAAATGCTTGTAAGGCAAATGTTGGTTGATCTTAATTGGTCTGTAGCATCCTACCCATGCAAATAAAAGTAGCAAATAAGTATTTCAGGCATCTTTCCTTGCCTGTATCCTACCACAATCTGCTGCAGAAGCTGATATCAGGACGGACCATTTTTGTTAGTCTCAGAAATTCTGTATGCACTGTTAATATGCTTAATAGGTTTGTTTACCAGGAACATGTCCTTATGAAAATATGGTGAGCACATATTGCCTAGTATATTTTGCAAAATTGTTACATACATGTTTTTTCTTGATACATATCAACATTTGTTTTAAAGAAACATTGTGTGATTTGAAGCATCAAGATGAAATGCTTAAAGTCATGGGGAAGTGTCTCCTTTTCCTGCTTTTCCCCAAACTCCTCCCCATTCAGGGTTCTTAAACTCTGCTGTGTCTTGTACCCCACTGCTAGTTTGCCATAGAGATAAATCTTATGGATGCTTCTGAAATAATGCACTTAAGTGTGCATAAAATAAAACATGTCAAATGACAAAGGAAACCAATTTATATGGAAATTAAATTATCAAGATATTAAAATCAATTAAATATTTTAAAGTTTCTGGTATGATAATGTGTGCTTCTTATTAATTCATTGATAAAGTACAATAGTGAAGCTACTCCTATAATTTTAAGGCAATGTTGAGCCTAAAGGATATTTTGAAAAACCTACAACAATGTCTTATATGGATATGATATGATGTCTGTGATTTCTATTGATGATACAGTCACTGGTACTGTGAATGTTGCTGTGATTTATAATCTATGTTTATAATTGAAGGGAGTGATAAATAATGGTTCAAAGTTAGAGAAAAGAAAAGGTTTTGTTCCCCACCCATGTCATAGGCCTGCTGAATTCTATCTATCTACTCCTTAGAAATCAGTGGGTGCAGGTTAAAAACACCTCTTCCATGTCATTTCTACTTACTTTTCAAAACCCAACTAAAGCACCATTCCTTCTATAAAACTTTACCAACGTTCCCCCAAGGGGACTTAGCTGCCACTCTTCTGTGCCCCCAAGAGCACTCTACAGCCTCTCCAACCTAGCACTTGGCGCTCCACGAGGTCTGTATTAACTTACTTACCTGTCATTCCTACAGGAGCACACATTCTTAAGGGCATGGGTCATACTTTATAGACTTTTTACCACCGCTTGGCACAATATCTGGCATGTAGCCGGGGCTCACTAGACGTTGAAAAGGAAGAGATAGGAAAATTCAAAGACAAGGGAACCATAAATCATAGACTATGATCTTAAAATAGAAAATTAAAAGTCGGTAGCTTGAATGTTTGCTTAAGTCAGATTTTCCATCAGTGATCCCTTTGGATCCCAGAGTGTAAGATGACCACATGGACTCGTTCTGCTCCCCTTTCAGTGCAACTCTCAAGTTACAACCTCTTAGAAACCATGAGCATGTGCTAATGACCTGATAATAACAATATCCCAGGTTCAGACTTGTTTCTTTTCTTGTAGGTTCTCATTTGTACAGGCAAGAGAAAGGGGCAGGAAGGGCTTGGAGATAAAAGGATTTCTTCCTCTTTCAAGGGCTTTATCAGTCAAATTTCAAAAGACAGGGAAGATGACTTTAATGTTAGGGCACATGTATAATGAGTGAGTCCTCCCTAAGACTCTATGTACTTGAATCATCGTTAATATCTCCTCGAAAAATAGAACACTAATAATAAGCTTCCTAAGTCCTCAGCACAAATACTTTATGTAGGATAAAGACAGAGGAAGGCACACTATCAGATGTGTACTCAGCTTCTCAATATTAATGTCATATAAAAATCAGGACTTATTCATGCATATTGACTTAATTTTGTATGCATGTCTCCCTTGCCAGTAATAAATA